GTAAAAAACGGTCACTTGGGGAGATTCATCCATAACCAGATTCATTCTGGAATATGGCGGTTACAAAGGACCTTGAATTTCTTTGATTTTTGCAGAAAAAATCAAAGAAAATCAAGGCCTCTTGCAACCGGAATAAAACGAAACACATGCATGAGGAGAAACACATGTTTTAGGTGCATCCGGAGCCAAAATCAAGCCCGGATGCACTTGGGAGTTTGCCGTTTCTTTTTCTTTTGAGTGAGGGCTAGTTGTGGGGCATTGGGGCTAAGGAATTGACCCCCATTGCAGTCCGAGTTGTAACGGACTGAATGGGGGGGAGGAAACACATGTTCTAGGTGCATTCGGAGCCAATATTGAACCCGGATGCACTAAAAAATTTAATGCTTCATTTTCTTTCAACATGGGGCAAGTTGTGGGGCTGTGGGGGTGGAAAACAGTCATGACTGCAGTCCGAGAAATTACGGACTGCATAGGAATGCCAAGACCAAGGGGAAATGGGCTACGACAAACTCGGAAGGTTAGAAAAGAGCAATTTCGGCAAGGGGGCAAGTAAAGATGGTAAACGGCAACCGTGAGATGAGATCTCACGGCCTAGAAAAATCGACACACATATGGAAATGATGGGACCACCAAAGGCAATGGGCCCCAAAAAAATAAAAATGGAACGCCGTTCGGGATGTTGCCGGGGGCCAAATGGGTCCAAATAATAAAAATCGAAAAACGGGACACGCGCCGGCGAGACAAAGAAATGGAGCTAGCATGTAGGAAAGTGGCGGGGACTTGGGATGTCCCAAGGGAACTATGAGCAAACACAAGGAATGATTGTGCAAGCAAGCGGCACCGTCAAGATCGAGGATCTAGATGGTGGAGAATATTAGCACCACTAATGCAAGCACTAGTGGGAGCAAGAGGGGGAGCCATGAGAGAAAGAAAAGTGAAATAAGGATGTTGGGAAGGTTGCCCAACAGTCCGGGATATCTCGGACTAGCTAGGCATAAGGAAATAGAGCCTTGAGAGGCTCAACATGAGAAAAAGGTTGCCCTTAGAAAATCGGAGCAAGTGGGGCTCGAAATTGGGCAAACGGGGACAAAATGGAGCCCCCTAGGAGCATGGGGGTGCCATTATTGAAAACCGAGATGTAATGGCCAAGTAACAGCCATGAACCTGGCCTTGAATGAGGCCCTAGGGCCTAGAAAGAGGGTGCACAGCAGTTTGATACTTGGCACAACAGAAAAAAAAAAGAAAAAAAAAAAAAAAAAA